ATATACCTCAATAAAATAATAATTTCAATGGTTAGTATATATATAGGTGAATGACTCTTTAATAATGCTGATAGCGATCTTAAACTACGGGCTTATTTTGTAATATCTCTTTGGAGGTTCTCTGTACAGATAACTGCGATGTATTTGTACTAACTAATATTGTTTGAAAAACATTGTTAATGCTTATACCTCACACACTATTGCATTGTTGAGGTTTAGTAACAGTGTGTGAACGCCATATTTTGTTTCTGATTAGAATGCCATAATTTTCTTGTTGCTGTTATTTTGTAAACTAAATTGTTATTGTTTCTTTCTTATATAGAGTTTGCTTTGCCTGAATGTTTGTGGTTTATCTTATTTGGATTGATCTTATAACTGTTTAAATGGACATATAATGCGTTTCCTCTGGGTTTCATCAGTTTATATGACAAAGTAATGCAAAATAACGTTTCATGCATAAAATTAGAAACGATAAAATAAGAAATTACACACCAGGCCATAAATAAATGAAGCATTCCTAATGTGTGTTGTTATCATCTGTTGCCCCCAATAAGTAACATATATCACTTAACTTCTGTTTCTGGTAGTTAATTAAGTGCAATTTCATAAAAACTACTAATCCAAATTTCAGTTACTTTAAGGAGAGTTATATATATTAAAATTAACTCTATACCAAATAGTAAATAATATAGAATATAAATATTGATATATACTATATGATTTTTTTTTCCATTTTTGGTAAAGCTATTAAGACTATCTGCCACTGTTCCTAATTTTGAGGCCTGGCATAGCCTGGTGGTTAAGGGGCTCAACTTGTAATCTGAGGATGGCGGGTTCGAATCCTCGTCACCGAACATGCTCGCCCTTTCAGAGGTGAGAGCGTAATATAGTAACGGTCAATCCCATTATTCTTTGGTAAAAGAGAGTCCAAGAGTTGGCTAACCTCCCTCTAGTCTATCACTGCTAAATTAGGGAGGCTAGTGCAGATAGCCCTCGTGTAGCTTTGAACGAAATTCAAGCCAAACTCTAATTTTTAATAACTGATCAGAGGGAGGGTAGCCAGTCAGAATCACCTTAGCCGTTCACAAACCACGCTAAGGGCCTGGCTATCTGTGCTCTGCCCACCACGGGTATCGAAACCCGGTTTCTAGCGTTGTAAGTCCGCAGACATACCGCTGTGCCACTGGGGGGCGGCCCACATTGTATGATGACATCAAAGTTGAATTACTAAAAGACAATAGAAGTCACTTTCTGGGAAATATTGGAACTGACCTGAATCACGTAGATATTAACTAACCCCTTGGTAGTAAAGAGAAAAATACTGAAAATAGGTAAAGCACCTGGGCCATACAAGGTTTTTCACCGGGGTTTTGAAGGAGGTTAAAGATCATATATGCGAGCTTCTCTCTTTCGTTTTTAGTAGGTCATTAGAGGAGTGGGCAGGTACCTAGAAACTGGGAAGCTGTTTATATTGTTTTTTTGTTTTTTTTTAAGTGGGTAATAAGAGTTTCCATCGAAGTTATAGGCCAACCAGTCATACTTTTGTAAATGGAAAAATCAGGAGAGTTTGACAAAAGAAGTTTTACAAAATCATTTAATGATATATGACTTTATAAAAAAAGAACAACATGGATTCACCAAAGAGAAACTTGACTTACTAATTTGTTATCTTTTTTTCCGAAAACGTTACTTGTTGTATAGATGAACGAGAGGGTGTGGACTTCGTGTACATAGATTTTCAAAAAGGCTTATTGGTAAGATGCCACACAAAGGATAAGGTAAGAAAATAACATTAGTAGGGGTTGAGGAAAGTTTAATTGGTTGGATTGTACGGTAGTTGAATGGGTGAAAAAAAAGTTGTTATTAATGGGGTCTAGTCAGCCTGAACCTTTGTTGCAACCGGATATCTTATGGGTCTGTGCTTGAGCCTTAATTTTTTATTTACATTAATGGTATTGATGGGGGCATAATTGATAGGTCAGATTAGGAAAGTTTTAGTATTTCTAACTGTATTGAGGATTTTGAGATTTTACAGAATAACTAGGATCAACTGGTAAATTAGACAATTATTTGGCAAATGTTATTCAATAATATTAAGGCCGAGTACATTATATTAAAACGATTTTGGAATCTCACCATATTATTACAGTTCATGTCGTCACGTCCACGCGTATTCTATCTGACGACCGTGCATTTTAGCAACATCCCTGTAACGATAGTTTCCCTGGCAAAAGGCATCGTTGCAAAAAGGTCACGTCCATAGCGCACCCACCCTTCTTGAATGTTTTCCATAAGCTCTCTAGCGTACGATGACGGCGGTTTCCCAGTGCCTGTTTCAACAGTACGATCACACAGAAATCCATAGGTGCTGCATTGGCAACTTGGCTGGTTTGTTTGTTTTTTAATTTGC